TTTTTTTTTTTTGTTTAAAGATTTGATTTGTGTTTCCTCAATCATATTTGTCTTGGGGGGGAAAATCCGGGCTCCAGGCGGGATTCGATCGTTGTTTGTTTGTTTGTTTGTTTGTTTGGTTGGTTGGTTGTTTGTTTGTTTGTTTGTTGCGATGATATATTCCATAGAACACAATCCATTATAAAGCATTTCTACTGATCTTCGATCTATCGCTGATTCCCCTATTACTAATATCAGAAATTTTCTCGAACGACAATATTAGAAGTTCCTTAGTTGTGAATAGATGATGAGGTCATTAAGTACGAATGATGAATCGCTTCAACTTTTTAATTAAAAAAATCCATGACCTGCTCAAGAATTTCAAGGAAAATTACGTTGAAAAAATACGTTGAAAAAGTGATTCGATTGTACACACTTGAGCTTCCTTTTTGTTTTGTTTTGTTATTGTTGTTGTTTTGTTTCTTTACTTTCATATCTAGCCTATTTTTAGATTAAAACGGAATGATTTAGATACGCGAAGGAAGRTTGTTAGACCGATTCAATCTTGATTGATTGACGATCATTCCCTGGTATTCAAATATTCAATTACTTCACCAAGTTAATTAAACACTTTATCATAGATGTGTAGTCACAGGTATTCGTACTTACCGGCCCTGGTACAATCACATCACATCACATCACATCCAATACTTTGTTCCTCGGTTGAGCAGTAGATTCGAGTGCCTTTTTTGTTGGTTGTAAATCATGGAGCAGCGACGATCTTCTCGCTGGATCGCTATTTTGTGTGTGAGTCTTCTTTTTCACCAGTTTTCACCAGTTTTCACCAGATGTGTTGTTAACGAGGAAGGTGAAGCTGTAGACAAAGGAGAACAGATTGACCAAGATGTTCCATATGGAGATGACTTTTATCAAGGTACTATATAAGCCTAATTGCAGGAACGTTGTAATATAAAACGAAAAAAAAAATAACAAGAAAGGATTTTTTTTTTTGTTGTTGTTTTTTTTTGTTTTGTAAATGCATTAATAAGTCATGAAGGAAACAATATATATCTGATATAGATTCGTCTTCATTTGCATAAACTTTAACTTGGATTTTCTCTATCAAACGTGGTTCATTTCGTAAAGATTTCGGTACAATATGAGAACATACAYCATGAGTTTTTTAAGCCGTTCAATATACTCGCAGATCGTGTTTTATCAGGTCTAAAAACACTGGGCTACGCCTCGTGTTTTTAAATCCTGATAAAACACTCCTGCGAGTTTATTAAACAGTACGTAAAACTAGAGTATTTTTTTCGTTGTTATGAGGGTATAGATTGACATTTTCGGCTTCGCCTCGTGAAACATCACCGTCTCGCGACCACAAAACACACTGTTTCCCTTGTTCCCAGTCAATAAGTGTTAAATATTGTTCAAAAATGAAATAAAAACTGGGCCGTCGCCGTATTGTTTGCTCTAATTATGTTTCTGGCAAATCTCGACGTTTCCATGTCTTTATCTTTCCTTTGTTACTCGGGCTTCCAAAGGAACGCCCGAGGCATAAATTGGGCAACGTTATTTTTCTTCMGTCACAAATCGCCCTCAAAGCGCTAAAGCGCATGCGCGAAACCAAACTCTATGCGCATGCGTAGAATCAGCTATGAGCACATGCTTGGGCAATTGCGGATATGGCGAAGGACTCGTCGGTGTTTCAAGTAATGAATAATATGGAGTCTAACACACTCAAAACACATACAAAAGCACACAGTTTTCGCGGTAGACCCACATTTAAAGATGTTATCACTCATCACTCAAATCAGATGCAAATATTTTACTCTTCACTTCATGTAGAATCTATACTGAAAACTATAGAGCTAGTGGTGAGGGGCACAACTAATGTTTGTTGTTTGTACGATGATCTAGATGACATAGAGCAAGTCGCTTCGGGAAAGAGAAGTTTTCTATCGAGCTTCGCAGATATAGCACTAAAAGCTTTGAAATTTGGATTAAAATATGGCGATGAAATAGCAGCTGTAGTAGATCTTTCTGTGAACCTCCCTGTAGCAGTAGGGGGCTGTGCCGTCTATTATCCAAGTATTGAAACCAATTGGAACAAGGTTAAAAGCCTTACTGCGACATTCAAGAACATTAGCGATGAAATAGACCGACTTTCTCTAGAAGGTGAGCACGAACGATAAAGAAGAGGTATTATTAGTTATAGTGATAAAGCTTGATCATCGATTAGCATGCTTCCATCGAACTTTCGGTGCACGCGGGAGATTGCTAAGTACGAAGGAAGCATATTAGGCCCCGTCCACGCGTACCCGGAAATTATTGTATCCGCAATTTTTTTTTTTTTCGGATACGGGTTGCGTCCACACGTGTCCGGAAATTTATGTATCCGTATCCGCAAATTTTCGAAAACGGTCCCCAGAGTGAAAATTTTCGAATACGCTCCGAATACGAATACGTGTGGACGGTCGTATCCGCAAATTTTCGAATACGATGACGTAAACACGATTTTGCGCATGCTCAATAAGAAAAACTATCCRTCAAAGAGACTAGGTTTTAGCGTGAATCAGGGCGGATCAAGAAATTTTCGGATACGTGTGGACCGTGAAAACGATTCGAAAACGATTCGAATACGCTACGTGTGGACGCGAACATTTTCGTATCCGCAACTCGTGCGACTCTTCCTACTTGAGTACTTAAGCAACCGTCCAAGACGTTAATCGAAAAATATTCAAATACATTTATTCTATAGCGCGCCCTACTCAATCACGTCAGCATGCACCATCGATTTTTGGATGCATTTTAATATTAATATCTATTAATTAATATTTGAGACTAGAGATCTCATAAAGCGTGATGCTTAAAGGAAGGGGGGACATGTCTTTTGTTATTGCTACGTTGGTTCCATGCGTTTGAGAGAAAAATAGTGACGAGAGATATAGAGAGAAAATAAAAAGAATATTATGTACACAGGAAGAATGTATTATTTCTGCATCTTAATGTTATTTGCTGAATGGTTGTATCTCTTCTGATGTTCGATGTTACTATCAATTCTAGCGGCAGTCGTGCAATGCTATGCTAAATCTAGCATGGAAGTGTACAGCAGAATAAGAAGTAACATGGAGCGTATCACTATCACACAGAAAGCAGTTTTCGATGCAATGTCTCCTGAATTCAGCCATGCATTGACAAACTCCACTGAGTACATCAAGGTAAGGACCAGCCGACCGACCGACCGACCGACCGACCAACTAACCGACCACGTCTCTCTATTCATATCTGCTCCAAGGTTTTCTGATTTATTTCCTTTGTAAAAATCTCAAAAATATTTTCATTGTATGAATTAATCTGGTGTCATTAAACTCGACAGAAATACATCAAAAAGAAAAATAGCACAAAAGACGAGGTCGATGCAATCGAAGTCGATTCAATGTACAAATCAGGTCTAGAAGTAGTGTTAGACATTGTCATGCCAGCTTTGACACTCGCAATGCCGGGATTTAAGAAAGTTTACAAACACGTCCAAGGAACTGTCATCGGAACCAAAATAAACGAGGTAAATAGTTTTAGAATAACGAAGTCACAAAATAGCGCAGCGCACTGATTCTAAAAATAGCTTAAAGATTCGGACAAACATTGCATTCTGTTTAGCCGCTATGAGGATTATACGAACCGATTTTATTATTTTTASTTAAAGTTACAATAATAACCCATGTAAACTAAGATCAACTGCGATCGGCTGTGAAAATTATCTGCTGAAAGTAAACTTGTAAGTTTGTTTGTCCGAATTTCGCCTTCGTTTTTATGACGTCAAGGCTGCGCTGCGCTATTGTTTTTAAAGACATTTAGGATTTTGGTAACATTCTCAGAAACTGCATGTAAAAATACAATATAGTGTGATAGGTAATTTAGTAATTTGAATACCAAAATGGCCGCTCCATATATTTTTGCCAAAAATTGTGTCATGTTTACTCGTCTATAATTCCGCAATGAAATGCTTTACAGCCTTACAATTCGGCCAGTATATGTAGTTTTGACTGCGTTACAAGATAACAAAACCTTTAGTTCATTATTATGCGAATTTAAGCTTTTGAAATTTACGATGACGTAGGTGAAAACCAAAACATTTCTCATTAAGCTTCTCCTGTTGGTGGGTCAACCAAGATGGCGACTGTTTCATTGTGATTTATATATCAAGAGATTTTCGGTCACGTGGTTACACACCAAGAACTGAAACCTGCATTTCATCCCATTCTTAATCTAYTTATTTAATATTCGAATTTTTATTTCCTTCTCAGCTGGAGGACAAGTTAAAAGTTAAATTCAAGATAAAGGGTTCGGCATATAAATATCAAGAGCTATCAGGAAGGAGGTTCATGTCTGTGAAGAAGGCTGGTCAGGGGCAAAGAGTAGAAGGGCTCGTAGTAAACGTTAAAAACAAGTACACGTCTGGTCACGGGTTATTTTCTAAAGTTAAAAGCGGAATTTCAAAACTTTTCTCGCTAGGAAGTATGGGTGAGTACATAGATGTGGTGTTAGATTCTAGCCTGCCATGATCGACGGTCTGCGGTGTTGCGAAGAAGAGAGGGAGAAACCGCAGACCGACCAAAAACGCAAGTATCCTGGCATGGGCATTTTGGAATGCTAATATATCAGAATATATAGAATATATGCATTGGTTATATTTGTTTTATATTTGGTATGTATATATGTTAATGGTATGATATATGATGATGATGATGATGATGATGATGATGATGATGATGATGATAATGATGATGATGATGATGTTGATGATGACGATGATGATGATGGTGGTGATGATAAATGATGACTATGATGATAGATGATCATGACGATGATCATGATCATGATGACTATGATGATGGTGATGATGATGATGATGATGACACTAGAGAAAAACGTTTGCGGATGCGTTCATTTCAGCAGCTTTCTAAGAATTTTGAAGCGTTTGAGTGAGAAAATAAATGTTTGTTTTCTCCAAGTATACAAAAAWKACAATATGAAAGAATTAGCCTTAAGTTTCAAGCATGGACACTAAGTTTTGGCATTTTGTGAAGTCCAATTTATCAGGCATGTTTGAAAGTCAAATTTACTTATGTTTTGACTAATTTGCATACGGATTCAGAGCATGCGCAGACGTTTTTCACTCGTGTCGATAAGCCTTTTCATAGTTTAAGAATCGATTCCACTGCGCATGCGATTTTATCCCGAATTTCTCACCTTCTTTTGTTTAATTAAGAACAAAAGAAGGTTTAGACAAAAGAAGATGAGAAATTCGGGATAAAATCGCATGCGCAGTGGAATCGATTCTTAAACTATGAAAAGGCTTATTGTGGTGGTGATAATGATGATGATGATGAATAATGTAAGTTCAATAATGTATTTGTTTATGGACGGTTTTCTCAAGGTYGCGTGCGCATCCAAATTTTAAACTTGACGGGCCACGATACCAGAACAGGAGCTTTATGATGAGAATTATCATATAATTCTATAAAATGTTTTTCAATAAGAGACATCATAAAATTGACTATTCTCCTCCTTAAATATAAAACTGTCTTCTCAATTTTACTGAATTTGCTTTTTTCATTTTTGTGGCCCGTCAAGTTGGATGCGCACGCAACCTTGAGAAAACGGTCTATTGAACAAAGTTTAATGACCTTTATATGACAAAATAGCTTTATCAATATGGGGTACGATTGGCACCCTAGAAGATTGTAAAGACCAGAGTAAGAAAGCAAAACAGAGTGCGATAGAAATGGAACAGTTTGTTGCTAATGCCACACAGTATTTGAATAACATCAAGGGAGCATATGAACTTGGACAAGAGGTAAGATAGAGAGTTTTCGCATGACTGTGAAAATTCGGTGCCGTATGCGTGCCGTGCCGTAACCGTAATATTTTTTCAGAATTTTAAATTAAGGATTTTCTTTTTGCGCATACAAAAATTTCCGGATACGTGTGGACGGGGCCTTAATTTTTATTTTTGCTTGTATAACTAAAGGCATGGAAAGATATCGTGGATGTAGCTTGGGAAGATAATCTTCTGTTTGCGCTGAGAGAGGTGAAAAAGATGATGTCGGACCCTGCTTTTACCAAATATAAAGGAACCATTGTACAAGATATTCAGGTACATAAATTAGATATAATGTAAGATTAATAATGAATAGTAATGGGAGGTTCTTATATAGCGCATTTCACAATTGTCTCAGCGCTTTACATTTATGACCAGTGGAGGACTTTACGGGCTGCATATTAAGGTGCTATTAGCAGCCGTGCAGCTTACAATCATGAGTGATTTGTTAGAACATTAGTGTTACGCCTCCAAATTGGGATAGGCTGTTGAACCGGGAGACAATCCCCTACTCTTACACGAATAATTCAACAGGTTCTTTTATGTCCCCCATTTTTACCATAGGTTAGGAAGGGTTGGGAGACAGGGCCAAAAATAACAAAGTTGACTTACGTTTATAAGTAGTTTTATGTTTTATGTTTTTGTGATTGTAGAATTACATCGATGCTACTAACAACACGGGTACATCTTCAAATGCTAACCATCTGCAAAGAAAACTCGAACTTGCTTTAAAACAAGTACCATTTCCACTACGATGCCATGAAATTAAAGGTAATGTTTTCAGTTCTAAACTGATAAAGCATGGTCTTGGAGTTCTTTGAATTCAAAGGTTTATAAAAATTTTTTTGCAAAACTTTATCCACACCACACCATCACACTAGCCTACCATCACGCCATCACACCATCACGCCATCACATGACTTCAAACCATCACATCATCACGCCACCACGCCATCACGCCATCACGCCATCACGCCATCACGCCATCACGCCATCACGCCATCACACCATCACACCATCACAGCATACTACCATCACCTCACACCATCACTCCATTACAACATTGGTTGGAAGGCGTTTTTGACATTAAAGTATTGCTGTTGCAGAATACAATCAAGAAGGGAGATTTCAGAATATTTTTTAGACTGTTATTATCATTATTATCGTCTTTGAGTGATAGATGATTGTTTTTAAAACATTTAGGTTCAATCTTTAGCGCAGTTAGCAGGGAATGCGCGGCGGGTTCAGATACATTCAKTAAGATCTACAAGAGCCGCAAGGAACTCGGCAAAACAGACTCAAAACGCCACCATTGTGCATTCGTAGCTCCCGGAAAGGAATTCATTACTGTAAGTAACTAAATTTATTATTTAACAAATAAAACAGCTTGTTTTCGTTCAGTAATAAAGCACTCATAGGAAGTGAGTGACGTAAGCACTTAGGAAGTGACGTAAGCACTAAGGAAGTGACGTAAGCACTAAGGAAGTGACGTAAGCACTTAGGAAGTGACGTAAGCATTTAGAAAGTGACGTAAGCACTGAGGAAGCGACGTAAGCACTGAGGAAGCGACGTAAGCACTGAGGAAGTGACGTAAGCACTGAGAAAGTGACGTAAGCACTGAGAAAGTGACGTAAGCACGAAAGAAGCGTAAGGAGAAGCACTCGCCGTAAAATAGATAAGTAACCTATACAGCGTATAATAAACAATAATTGGATGAGAAAACCTACAAATATATTACATTATCATATGATGGATTGGCTGAGGGATCTCATCCAATGACAAGCAAGATAGTAAGTAAAATGTGTAATGAGATTTACGTTTCGTATCGTTTTTCTCTATTTTGTACCATGTTATCAAGGCTGAACGACTCGAAAACGCTTGGAAAGAGGCGATCAAAGGAAACGATACTGTAAAGGAAAGATGTCTCCAAAACAGCCAAAACTTGATAGATTTAGTCCAATCAAAACTACGAGAAGGCGCTACAGTCGAGGACGCCGCTCAAATTGCTAAAGAATTCAAGCGTCCACACTACAAAGAAGACATTGAARTTTTGTTGCGCACTTTGCCGAAGCCTGGGAAGATAACACTTTCTAAAGAGATACAACGAATGATTTGCCTTTTGAAGACCTCTGATGATATGACAGATGAAGAAAATTACAAAGATCTACATGATTTGTACCCTTATCTCACATTTGACATGTATAAGAATCAAGAATGCCCAACAAAAGAAGAAAATAAAAGTAAAACAAGATAGATTTCTTGATCAAATGTTGCGTCTTTAAGGTCCCGTCCACACGTATCCGGAAACTTTTGTATCCGCAATTTTTTTCGGATACGGGTTGCGTCCACACATGCCCGCAAATTTTTGTGTCCGTATCCGCAAATTTTACGAAAACGGATACGTGTGGAAGGTGAAAACGATTCGAATACGCTGCGTGTGGACGCAAACACTTTCGTATCCGCAAACAATTATTTGCGGATACAAAAATTTCCGGATACGTGTGGACGGGGCCTAAGATAAGAGGGTTTATATTTCCATTACGTTATTGTCTTGAGTTTTGACTTATAAGAATCGGAAATGCCCAACAAAATAAGAAAATAAAAATTAAAAAATAAAATAGATTTCATGATCGAATGTTGCGTCTTTAAGTTATAAAGGTTTATATTTCCATTACGTTTTTTACATTAACTTAGAAATTTCTCGCGCGCTGGTTGGTTATTTTTTTATCATCAATAAGAGGACAGACAGATAAAGCTGACGTCAACGACCACTTTAGAAAGGGGTTTCAATGGGGTCCTGATATAACATAACAGTATAGCAAGGCTAGTTTCAATGGAGTCCTGATATGACATAACAGTATAGCAAGGCTAGTTCCAATGGAGTCCTGATATGACATAACAGTATAGCAAGGCTAGTTCCAATGGANAAAAATTTCCGGATACGTGTGGACGGGGCCTAAGATAACAGGGTTTATATTTCCATTACGTTATTGTCTTGAGTTTTGACTTATAAGAATCGGAAATGCCCAACAAAATAAGAAAATAAAAATAAAATAAAATAGATTTCATGATCGAGTGTTGCGTCTTTAAGTTATAAGGGTTTATATTTCCATTACATTTTTTACAATAACTTAGAAATTTCTCGCGCGCTGATTGGTTTTTTTTTTATCATCAATAAGAGGACAGACAGATAAAGCTGACGTCAACGACCACTTTAGAAAGGGGTTTCAATGGAGTCATGATATGACATAACAGTATAGCAAGGCTAGTTTCAATAGAGTCCTGATATGACATAACAGTATAGCAAGGTTAGTTTCAATGGGGTCATGATGTGACATAACAGTATAGCAAGGCTAGTTCCAATGGAGTCATGATATGACATAACAGTATAGCAAGGCTAGTTCCAATGGAGTCCTGATATGACATAACAGTATAGCAAGGCTAGTTTCAATGGGGTCATGATATGACATAACAGTATAGCAAGGTTAGTTTCAATGGGGTCCTGATATGACATAACAGTATAGCAAGGCTAGTTTCAATGGGGTCATGATATGACATAACAGTATTTCAAGGCTAGTTTCAATGGAGTCATGATATGACATAACAGTATAGCAAGGCTAGTTTCAATGGAGTCATGATATGACATAACAGTATAGCAAGGCTAGTTCCAATGGAGTCATGATAGGCATAACAGTATAGCAAGGCTAGTTCCAATGGAGTCCTGATATGACATAACGGTATAGCAAGGCTAGTTCCAATGGAGTCATGATATGACATAACAGTATAGCAAGGCTAGTTTCAGTGGGGTCCTGATATGACATAACAGTATAGCAAGGCTAGTTTCAATGGAGTCCTGATATGACATAACAGTATAGCAAGGCTAGTTTCAATAGAGTCCTGATATAACCTAACAGTACATTTATAGAATATAAATATAATAGACATAAAATGGCATTAAAGATTAAGAACRATAAGCCCCGTTTACACTGGCGATTTTTACTGCGATTTTTGTGGCAATT